CTCTCTGGCCAAAGGACAAGGATAGGGCAACTTAATAAGACAGAAAACCTTGAGGCAATTAACACATTCATCCACCCATACATAAGAGAAAAATGTATGGCCTTATCCTCACCTAGGCCATCAATGCCCTAATGAATACTCTACATTTCTACCTTCACCAAGCTATGACAATGTCCCCCCAGTTTCCATCAGGGTAGTGTCCAAGAAGATCACATAGAAGCCAGGACATTCATCCCTGCCAGGTAGTAACCAGGCCACCCTCCACCCTTTGTATCATCAGTGGAGATAAAATAGGGATCCTGAACTTCTACCCCTACCATCCCTATATGTTGGGATGGTGTCAAACTAGGCTTAGAGGAGAATCAGGACTTTCACCACCATCCTGGAATAATGACACCAATACCCAACCCCACTTCCCCCATCAGCATGGTGTAGTGGTGAACAAATGGGTAATAGTTACAGGGCATTCCTATTCCTCCCAGCCAGGGAGGTATCAATGGAAGTCTAATGGGAGCAGGAAGTCCTATCCATGCCAGCAGTAATAAAGAGCTCCTGTCCACTCATATATAAGCAAAGGGCAAGTGAAGAAACATGAGCTTCTACCTCCAACTGCCATTAATTCTACTCCCACTTCTAGAGCAATATTGGAGAAAGCCAACCAAAACTGAAGGTTTATACAATATCCAGAATCTCACAATATCATACCCAAAATGTCTAGGTTTCAACTGCAAACTACTTATTACACTAACAGTCAGGGAGATTTTAAATGAAATGGAAAAAAAGTCATTAGATGCTAATATCAAGGAGAGCAAATAGACATCCAGCAAATGCCATAGACAATACAATAAAATTTGACTTCAGTTTCATACCTTATAAAAATTAATTCAAAATGGATTATGCACTTATAACTAATAAATAAATAAAACTATAAAACTTTTGGGAGAAAACAGAAGATAAACTTTGGAGTCTAGAACTAGGCAAAGAGTTCTTAGATTGGAAACTAATAGCATGGACGTAAAGCGCAAAACTGATAAATGGGACTTCATCAAAATTAAAGTCTTTTGTTCTGTAAAAGACTTAAGAGGATGAGAGGACAAGCTACAGATGGAGAGAAAATATTTGCAAACTAGCTATCTAATAATGTTTAATATACAGAAGATATTTAAAAATCTCAAAATGCAGCTGTAAAAAGAACCCCAAAAAATCCAATTAGAAAATGGGCAAAATATATGAACTTTATATATATAAAATACATGAACTGTATATTATTTTGGTTAAAAGGATGTACAGATGGCAAATAAGTGCATGAAATGATGTCAAACATCATTAGTTATTATAAAAGTGAAAATTAAAGCTGCAAGGAGTTATTGTGACATACCTATCAGGATAAATAAAATAAAAAATAATGACAGCAACAAATGCAACCAAGGCTTTTGAGAAAGTGAATCACTTGTACATTTCTGACAGGAATGTAAAAAGTTACAGTTAATCTGGAAAACTCTTCAGCAGTTAATTTTAAAAACTAATTATGCAACTACCATAGTACCTAGGAATTGCATGTTTAGCCATTTTTTCCCTCAAAATAAAAACTTATATTTACAAAATGTCTGTACATGAATACCTATAGTGACTTTCTTTGTAATAGCCCCAACTGGAAGCAACCAAGACATCCTTCAACAGGTGAATAATTAAACAAACTGTGGTATATCCTTACCAAGAAATATTACTCAGTAGAAAAAAATGAACTATTAATGACCTGGATTAATCTTCAGAGAATTATGCTGAGTGAAAACAGCCAATGCCCATAAGCCACATACTGTGTGATTACATTTAAATAACATTCTTGTAATGACAAAGTTACAGAAATAGGGAACAGTTTAGAAGTTGTCAGTGTTTAAGTGGGAAGTTAGAGATAGGAATGAAGTGGATGTGTCTATGAAAAGAGCAACAGGAGGGCTCCTTGTGGTGATAGAAATGGCCTGTATTTTTTGACTGTAGTATATCAATATTCTGGTTATACTATTGTACTATGTAGTTTTGCAAGATATTATCACTGGGTATAAAGAGGAAACAGGCACTAGGGATCTCTGTGTTTTTTTGTTTGTTTGTTTGTTTTTACAACTACATGTGAATGTACAATTATTTAAAAACAAAAAAGTTGAATTAAAAATTCAGTCATCAGCAATATGACATTTACATATTTGTATCTGTACTGCACAGCAATCATATGAATGTCCTTAGTTGATTTTAAGGAATACTATTCAGTTTATAGCCCTGCTACCTAAGTGGCCGTGTTTTCTACAGAATTCTCTCATAACCCACAATCCAATGCCACTTGACTAAATCAGGAATGGCATTTGACCAAAAGTGCAGCAAATTTTAACTAAGTCATATTCTATGATCTCAACGATCAGGTGAATTGAGCCAATCATATTCTCTCTTTTGAAAATTTAAAGACACATACACACATACACGGACACAAACATAAACACACACAGAATAGGCTGTGTGCTTGTTATTAAATTACGATCTCTCAGTTCAAGTCCACCCTCCTCTTGCTTTGAGATGCTGGGTCTGGGTCAGTGCAAAGCATATATTTTCCTTTGCCACCTGGCTCCCTATTTGCCAATACAGGGATACAGAGGGAGAATAGAAGCTTGAAAGGGAAGAAGAAAGTGCTTCCTGCTTCTGACAATGTTGCCCTGTTGGTTCCAGTAGCCATTGCAAAGCAGTTGGTTCTGTTTTGTACATTTTTCTACAATTCCAGAAGAAGAAAAAAAGTGAATGATAAAACAGCACTAGCTGGCTAGTACCCCTTCCTCAGAGATGCGATTCCAGCTTTGCCTGTGGATTCCTTTTTAGTTTTTCAGGCTGTAACACTGGCTGAGTACCATCCCCCACAAAATTCTGCATCCCAGCTCCATGGGTACCCCAATCTGAGCTTCTGGGGTACAGTCCCAGCTGGCAGCCAGTCCCTAAAGGCAAGATTCTTAGCTCTGTGTAGTCCTTGCTGAGCTTCTAAAGTCCCTCTATTTTTCGGGGAACACCCTCACCCAAGACTCCTGTATTTCTTTTCTTCAAAGCCCCTCCTCCAGTATTCTAAATTCTAATAATCTCTGACTCTTACTTTTGTCCCTGCATCCAGGATATCCACTTCCTGTAATTACTATCCTTATGATTCCTCAGTGGTTTTTTTGCCTTTATTATTCGCCAATAACTGGCTAACTATTCTTTGATAATTCTGCATATTAAAATAAATGGTATGGTTTCTGTTTCCTGAATGTAACCTGATTCACACAGGTAATTAGCAGCAGGAGCTGAAGCTGTTAAAGGGAAAGCAGCTGCAGAGGCCATGATAGTCTATATGCAAGGCAAATTTTTAAGAGGAACAATTATTAAAAGGATAAGAAAAATAATCTAACAAAAAAGAACAGATATGAATAGACAGTCAAGGAGAAGTAGAGTTGCACAAAGTTTAAAGTCCCTGTTGCTCATAAGAATGACACAAGCATATAAGAAGCTTCTAGAACTGCCTTTCTTTTTTATTCTTGCTTCTTAATTTGGTTTCAGTTCCAGCCCACACATGTTGCCAGAAAAATTACCTTTTTACATGGGTCACCTAAATGAGTCTTTCTTCTCAATAAACAAAAGAGCCTAAGGATACATCCTTCCCCGTGTATAAATAGAAATATTAAGTTTTACAACAAGGAAAAAAGACAATTACATATGCTTTTAAAAAGAAAGATTCAAGTCTTCTCTCTCTTGTTGGTTGATATTTATCTTCAATGGTTGGTACCTTATGTTTACCTTACCATTGCTTCCTCATCTTTACAGAGCAGTTCACACTTGCAAACACCTCCATAGCTAGGTTCTTATGTGACTCTCCAAACAAAGTGATACCCCTGAAGATAGATTAACACATCTTCCATTCAGCTTAATCTACATAATGTGATGGAGTTGATGAAAGAAAAGGTTATCTTCTGGGAGGATCATGAATTATGAATGCAGGACAGGTAGCTTTTATAAATGCAACTGAGAGAGAGCTAAATATTAATAGGAAAATGCATGAGCAAACCTTCTACCTTCATTTCCAGTCCACTTATACCATTTTACTTACGCCTTAAAGCATCACAAATAATTCCAGTATTTGCCAGTAAAAGGGAAAGTACAAACTTCTCCTCTACAATGTGCTTAATGTCACTATAATTTGATCTTTTTTTCCCCTTAACAGAGTGAATCCCCACAGATGAAAGAAGAGATTGTTTCAATTTTGCAGAGCTGATGGCTTCCATTTATAGGTGTGAGTCCCCTTGACTCTTGATGGTATAACAATTATTAACTACAGAGGATGCCACAACCCAATCCTCCAGCTTACAAACTGCCACTTGTTTTGAGTCACTTATACTTTCATCCTTCCCCACTGGTTCATTCAGACAAGTACAACTTTCCCAATAGCCCAACAGAAAATATTTTCATGCTGTGACCACATCAAGCTTTCCAATCTCCCCAGGTTTTCAAAGAGAGAATCGAAAGCCAGCTACTATTCCCAAACACTTCGTTCCATATCAACGATTGAACCACTACCCCAGTTACAAAGAAAAGGAGCCGGGACATCACCATTTGTCTGCCTGTTTCTTTCTGAACCCCAAGCAGGACAATCTGCCACTCTCTCAACTCCTGGGGTCGTGCTCAGAAACATCTGTTCGAGAAACAGTTTGACTCCCGCCCTTCTGCATAAATCACTACTGGTAAAAGTTTTATGAGGTGGCAACTTTTTCCCCCTCCTTTCTCCTTTTGTAACTGACTGAAGCCCAAATTAACAAGATGAAATGGCCAGACATTTAGCCATATGCCGGCATCCACATGTGTACATTCGGGAGGGAAAAGAAGCTGTTAGCTGTAGCAAAGGAGAATTATAATTGTCTGAAATGTAATTAACAACCTCATAGTCAATGAATCTTTGAAGGATTCTAATGGAGGAAATTATACCTCTCACTTACCTGTAGCAAATTGTTCATGGACCCGTTTCTCTGTTTGCAAAACTTGAACCCACTTAATTTATGGCGATTCCAAAGTAGTTTCAGGATGTTTCCATATTGTTAATCCGCATAAGTTATTCTTGCTTTTCCAGTAACTCCTACATAAAATAGAATAAAAAGATATAATTAGTATTATTTAATGGTCAATAAATGTTGGTAGATTTTAACACCTAGAGCTCACACTAAACACACACATGCACACACACACACACCATTTTTATTTTTTGTATGATAGAAAGTAATGGGAAAAATATTTTCTGTTTTAAAAACTATATCAAATGTTATGATCATTTTGTAAATAAAATTACACCTAGTAGTAGATCTCCAGGTGGCTGGTAAAGGCTAAATAAAAGTTTATTGATTAGAGACTCAATATAATAGTTTTGATTAAAATTTGCTTGTTACTGCATGCCGTAAGAAGGTGGAAAGGAATTTAACATCTGAGACATTACCATGGGCCTGGGGCTATGTGAGTTGCATTTACATATATTATTTTATTCAATCAGCACAGTAATATTTCTTAAGACCTTACTATCCACACTGTCTAGCAGATGCTTTTGTTAGCCTCATTTTTCAAAGTGTTATCAGGAGAACCTTCCCTCAATATTTCAACGTAGTTTCTTTCTATTTTCCATAAGTGTCGGCCGGCTGAGAAATAAAGAAAAAGAGTACAAAGAGAGGAATTTTACAGCTGGGCCTTTGGGGGTGACATCCTATATTGGTAGGACCGTGATGCCCACCTGAGCTGCAAAACCAGCAGGTTTTTATTAAGAGTTTCCAAAGGGGAGGGTGTGTATGAATGGGGAGTAGGTCACAAAGATCACATGCTTCACAGGGCAAAAAGGAGAACAAAGATCATATGCTTCTGAGGAAACAGGACAAAAGGCAAAACAGAACTACTGATAAGGGTCTATGTTCAGCTTATTGTCTTGATAAACATCTTAAAAAACAGAAAAGAGGGTTCAAGAGCAGAGAACCGGTATGACCTCAAATTTACCAGGGCAGGATTTTTTCCCAGCCCTAATAAGCCTGAGGGTACTGTAGGAGACCAGGGTATATTTCAGTCCTTTTCTCAACGACATAAGACAGACACTCCCAGAGTGGCCATTTATAGACCTCCCCACAGGAATGCATTCCTTTCCCAGGGTCTTAATTATTAATATTCCTTGCTAGGGAAAGAATTTAGCGATATCTTCCCCACTTGCATGTCCATGTATAGGTTCTCAGCAAGAAGAGAAATATGGCTCTATTCTGCCTGACCCCACAGCCAGTCAGACCTTATGGTTGTCTCCCCTTGTTCCCTGAAAATCACTGTTATTCTGTTCTATTTCAAGGTGCACTGATTTCATATTGTTCAAACACACATGTTTTACAATCAATTTGTACAGTGAACACAATAGTGGTCCTGAGGTGATGTACATTCTCAGCTTATGAAGATAACAGGATTAAGAGATTAAAGTAAAGACAGGCATAAGAAATTATAAAAGTATTAATTTTGGGAACTGATAAATGTCCATATTAAAATGAAATCTTCACAATTTATGTTCAGAGATTGAAGTAAAGACAGATATAATAAATTATAAAAGTATTATTTAGGAACTGATATATGTCCACATTAAAATGAAATCTTCACAATTTATTTTCCTCTGCCACGGCCCAGTCCCTCCATTCGGAGTCCTTGACTTCCCGCAACAAATTGTAAAGCAAAGACTTATAAATAGGGGAAGTTAGATGACAAGTCCATTTAAACTGAATACAATATTCTCTTGTTTTAGTCAGATGGTGGGGAAGACCATTGATTATTGCTTTGTTTTGTTTAAATAATTAATATCAAAATATTTTTTGTGTTGAATCTGGCCTAAGACAAATGAAAAGAGTTATTTTGGCACTAGGCTAATGAAGAATTCCAAAAAAAAACTAGATAATGAATTTCCTGTCACAATATATCATAATTATGATGAAACACCTTAACAACTATTAAATAAAATTTGTAGAAGGCTGTTGTTTTGGACTAAATTCCTGCAATATGCCCCAGTAGACCAAAGGAAAATGGAGCCACTCATGTTAAGTGTCATGCAAAAAACAGGAAAATCTCCAAACAGTGCTTTTTCTTTTTCCCCAAAATAACAAGAGAATCACATAAACCATCTGAAAAAGGGCCAGTCATCCTGACCCAGCATGATAAGGAAGTCTCCTCTACTTCAACTTGCCTAACAAGGAAAGTAACCTGACGTTAACCAATCTGCTTTTATGTATATGCTGTTTACTTGTTTCTGCTCAAGCTACCTTTCAAAAACTGACTGTTCAGCTATATCCAATGAAGTGCATTCCTATTTTTATAGATAAGATGCTGCTCAATTCATGAATAATTAATAAAAGTCAATTAGATTGTCAAACCCAAATTGTTGGAATTTTGTTATTTGACATCACATAATTTTTTTCTCCATTACATTTATTTTGGCCTGAAATTGCACATCTATTTAGAATTTACAGTACTCTTTTAACTAAATTTAACAAAAATAACTTCCTGTGCATCTAAACTATATTACTTATTTAATTTAACACTCTCTTATATTAACTAATTTTTATTAAGAAACTGTCAGCCATGGTAGTTCTCTTTGACCAGCCCATAAGATTCATTATGATATGACAAACCACCCATTAATACCCTCTTGTTCCCGAAAATAGTCAGCTACAGAAAACCCTCTGCCCCCTACATTAAACTTCTCTCATTTGAAACATCCCCAAACTGCACAAGTGCCCCCTTGCAGCCAACCAATACTTGTAAAATATACCATTTAGAAAGCCTCTCTAGTTTCCAAAATCCCATCTTAATAGAACATTTGCCAATCAGGTAAGTCTGATTGTTTTCTCATTTTATATCCTAACATGTACTCCCCTTCCCAACACTTCGGAAACTTTGCTTAAATGAAAGATATAGCAGAAGTATCCCCTTGCCACAAGTTTATGAATAAACAAGCTTTGTAAATTTTTTTATCAGACTTGGTTTTGATCAATGTCATTCTGTTTTATTACAGGAATATTTAGGATAATGTGTCTAGGAATATTTAGGATAATAAGTTTAGAGGGAAGTATCTTAACATATTCAGCAATTTGCAGATCCTTCCTGGTACATAGTAAGAAAACATAGTAGAACTAATTAAAAAGAGATGGGGTAGGGTAGAGGAGAGAGAGAGAGAAAGAAAAAGAAAGAAAAAAGTCCTGAATTACATGGGAGAATGAAGATCAAAGTTGGAACGTAGAATAAGTAATTGTTCAATTCTTGTTCAATTGATGAAATACCTAGAAGACACTTAATCTACCACTGTCATATGCCATTGTTAAAACTTAATAAAGTACCCGTCTATTGGAGATCCTCTATAAGCTAGGTACCAGTTAAGCAATTTCCATGCATTATCTAATTTATTCACTAGGGAAAAATTGATGCATCGGTAGAAAACTATATATTATATTTAGTACACCCTTCTGCTTATCAGAAGGTGATTCTATGGAAGAAGTCTACAGAATTTACAACTCTGCAAATTGTAAATAACTGCTAGAAATGCAAAATAATTTTTCTCTGTAGAAATTTTTTTCTGTTCAATAGTGTGGTTCATTTGACTTCCTTCTCCACTGTGGAAGAAGCTAGTTTTGCTTGCATTAACATATCTATTTCAATATTTCTCATTTATGCTTGTGTCTTTATTTCGGATTTTCCTTTGAAGTGGCTATAATACTGTGTGGTTCTCTCATTGATAAATGAGCTATAAAAAGTCTTCAACGTCTGTTCATTTTATATCTGTATGAGAGTTGTGATTTTACCTTTTTTGAATTTGATCTTTTGACCATTCTTTACGATAGCTCAATTGGGGATAGATATTATTGAATATTTTATAGAAAAGGCTTAGCAGGGTCTCATTACTTTCCTGAAAGTCACAAATATCCACTGGGCACCTCCTGACTGTTAGGTACTATGCTAGATGCCAGGGCTGCAAAGCTGAACAAGGTTGTCTTTAGCCTCAGGGTCAAGGAAACAAGAGTAAATCTTTAGTGAAGGTTGCCTTATATGTAAGCTGCTTTCATAGATATCTAGGAACTGAAAACATTTAATGAATACTTACTACCCAAAATTCACTTGCTATATAAAATATTGAACTCAAATAGATTCAAACAGTTTTATACTCTTTATCTCAACTTGCTCTGTGAATTCTTGCTAACTAAATTCAGGAACAAAATAGACTTTGTAGGAAGAAATACTTGATTACTATCTTCTAATCCTTCAAGTCACCTTATGAGGTAGGCATTCTTCCCATTTTTATAGATAAGAAAAATGAGGCTCTGAGAAAGTAGTGCTTAAAAAATGTCACAGCACTAAAGAATAGGAAGAGATAGCAGGATCACACAACCCAATGTCCTCATTTAATAGATGGAAAACCAGAGCTCATGGGAGACAGAGTAGCACCCTAAAATATCATGTCCAGCTAGGAGCAGGACTGGATGCTCCAACCATTGCTTCTACCTTCTACTGCATCTTTCTACTTATGTGAGACAGTGAGGAAGGAGAATGTACCACATAACAGAATCAGTGAGAAAAGAGAGAAAAAATTCTTAAACTTCTTTTAAGATTTTCAGAAGGCCCCAAGGGGGCTGATATGGTTTGGCTCTGTGTCTCTGCCCAAATCAACTTGATTATAATCCCCATAATCCCCACATGTCAAGGGTGGGAACAGGTGAAGGTAATTGAATCATGGGGACAGTTTCCCCATGCTGTTCTCATGATAGTGAGTCAATTCTCATGAGATTTGATGGTTTTATAAGCATCTCATTCTCTCTCCAGCCACCCTGTGAAGAAGCGCCTTCTGCTATGACTGTAAGTTTCATGAGGCTTTCCCATCTATGGGGAACTGGGAGTCAATTAAACTTCCGTTTTAAATAAATTACTCAGCCTCAGGCAGTTCTTCATAGCAGGCTGAGAATGTACTAATGTAGTTAATTGGTACCAGGAGTTGGGTGCTGATATAAAGATACCTGAAAATGTGGAAGTGACTTTGGAATTGGGTAACAGGCAGAGGTTGGAACAGTTTGGAGGGCTCAGAAT